GAAAGTTCTTTGCATGTCTTTTGCCCAGAGCTCCCTTTTAAAGAGCTCTTGTTGGTGGTGTTAGATACCATTGACTTGATTGTGACTTGCAGTGAGCCTATGAAGGAAGTCTGAGTTTTTGCTCTGTCCTGCACTACCTGCCCCATCCTCATGACCTCTACCAGGCTCAACCACTTCATTAGTCACTGTGTCTATCTCACTGTGGATCTTCCTCTTTTTCACTGACCCACCTCCTTTTTCAGCATGATATCTTTTGTCAGGAACTAGCCTTTCTGACATGTCCAAAATATATGAAAAAAGTTTCATCATCCCTGCCTATAAGGAGCACTCTAGTTGAACTGCCTCCAAGATGGATTTGTTTATTCCTTTCACAGTTCATGGTATAGTGAATACTCTTTGCCAACACAACTCAAAAGACATAGATGCTCCTTCCAGCTTCCTAATATGTGGCCCAACTTTCAGATGTCTTGGAAACAAATGAAAAGACCAGGTGCTCCTTATTCTTTAAACTGACAGCAGATTTTCCCAATGCTGTGCTGCTTTTAATGTCTTGACTGGGCTCTGATAGGTGTTGATTGTAGATTCAAGTAAAATGAAGTGACAATTGTGCTCACGCTCAACCTATACCTAGACCAAGAAGCTGTGTGCGATACTACATCTTGGGTTTTCCTCCCCTGCACTGTCCCTCCACCCTTCCAAGCATGATGTTCTTCTCCACAGACTGGTCCCTCCTGGCCATGTGCCCAATATGTCTAGTTAAAGTTTAATTTCAAGTAAATAACAAATTTTAGTTATCCCAAATATTTAATTTGAGAGTGTGTCTCATGCAATATTCAGGATAGATTAAAAATCCATGGGGTCACTCTGGGTCAAAACTGACTTAGCAGTAACTGCTAAATTTCTGTTGTATTTTCCCCTCAGTATTTTATTATGTTTCAGGTGAAAGTTTATATAGCTAATTGTTGTTATTTGCTAATTGTTGTTGTCTTTGCTTCAAGTATGATTCACAGTGATCCTATGAACAACAGATCCTAACTCTGACCAATTTTATGCCATCAAACACCCCTGACATACTTGACCCCACTGCTGCAGTCATTGTTGTTAATCTATTTCACTGAGGGTCTTTCTCTCTTTCACTGATACCTCCAGTTTTCCAATCATGATTCCCTTTCCAAGAACAGCCTTTCCTAGCAACATGCTCAAAATATATGAGAGAGAGCTTGCCTCTAAGGACCACTCTGGCTGCACTTTTTCCAAGACAAATCTGTTCAGACTTTTTGCAGTCCGTAAGGATCTCTGGGGGCCTGGTGGTAAGAAACTGCGCTGCAATCCCAAAAGCATGCAGTTCGAAACCATCAGCTGCTCTGTGGGAAAAGGATGGACAATCTCCTCCCATGGGATTTACAGTCTCTGAAAACCCTCTGGAGGTCCAGCTATGGGTCAGTTCTGATTTGATGGTACACAACAACAGGATAAACAGGATGTCTGGTGCTCTTTTGCAACTCTACAACTCAAAGGTAACCATTCTGTCATCCTTATTCATTTTCCAGCTTTCAGATGAATAGCAAGTGACTGAAAACACTATGGCCTAAATCAGACCCACCTTAGTCTTCAAACGGACATCATTGCTCCTCAGTAATTTAGAGATATCCGACAGCAGACTTGCCCAGAGTAATATATCTTCTTATCTCCTGACTGCTTGTACCAAGGGTGTTCCCTTATAGATCCAAGTAAGAGGAAATCATTGACAATTTCAATCTCTTCTCTATCTATCATGATTTTGCTGATCAGTCCAGTGGTGAGAATTTTTTCTTGATATTGAAGACTGTAGTCTTTGTACTTCTGTAGTAAGTATTTCATAAGTTCTTCTCACTTTCAGCAAGCAAGGTTGTGTCTCTGCACAGAAAAAGCTGCAGAGGTTCCTCCAATCGTGATGCCACATTCTTCATAGATTCCAGGTTTTTGAATGATTTGCTTAGCATACAGGTTGAAAAGATGTAAAGAAAGGATACAACCCTGATGTACACCTTTTCTCATTTTAAACCATGCAGTGGTCCCTTGCTCTGTTTGTACAATAGCTTCTTGGCCAAGGTATAAGTTTGCTATAAGCATGTGTACTGGTATTCTCCTTCTCAATGTTAGCAGTTGTTTGTTATGATATGCATGAATGCTTTTGCACAGTCAACAAAACATAAATAGATATTCTTCTAGTATTCTCTGCTTTTAGCCAGGATCCATCTGATATCAGCAATGATATCCCTGTTCGGTGGCCTCTTCTAAACTCAGCTTAAACTTCTAGCAGTTTTCCATCTATATACTATTCAAGCTGTTTTTGGATGATTGTCAGCAATATTTTGCTTGCATGTAATATTGATAATGTCCTAGTTTTATAGATAATTTCATAGTGAATTAATCTCCTACATTTTCTGCACAATTCCCATGACATTAGTTTCACTTTTTAAAATATATAAACATTCTTGTTATCTCCATTTATTTGTTTTAATGATACATTTCTAGTTTTCATTATTTTAGCTTCTTTGTCCCACCATAATCTTTAATAGTTGTTTTAACGTAAATGTTGACCTTCGGACCTCATATCATATATTATTAAAGAGAGCATAGTCTTCACTGAGATATTATTATTCCAGAGTCTAATCTACTCTTTGGATGAAAGGTGACTGCTGGGACAGGCTTCAGTTTCAATTTCAAAGGGTACCTTAGATCTATACTTGTGAGGTTCCTTTAGTCTCTATCACAGTTCAGTAAGCATGGCCTTTGTTTTTTCTAATCTTGATCCCTTACCTCAATCTTCAAGCTTAATTTTTTTTTTGCTTATTTTTCTCCATTTTAATCTGAGACTTTTATGTCCTTAGTCAGAGGATTGATAATGGTAGCTGGGGACCAGTTCTTCTGTTCTTCCCATCTTTGGTTCCTTCATTATCTTTTATGCCACATGAGTTAAGACCAATCGCTGTATTTCAGGTGGCAACTTGCTAGGTTTTAAAACTCCAGATAATATTCACCAATCCGAGATACAGATCATTGCCTTTATGAACTATGTTATGTCAATTGATTGAGTTAGCAGATTAAACTATGCTCCCAAGCCTTCAAATCCAATAAAGTTATCTTTCAAGGTGTTTGGTTGAGTCAGGCAATATCTGTAACTGTGTTCTGCTCTCACGTGGGTATTGTTTTTGTTGTTATGTGCTGTCAAGTTGCCTGCGACCTTACATACAGCAGCTCTGAAGCCTGCCCTGTCCTGAATCGTCTCACTAATTCTGACATACCAACTCCCATTGCCTCAGCTACTGTATCAATCCATCTCATTCAGGGTCTTCCTCTTCTGCATTGTCCCTCCACCTTCTGAGTATGAGGTCCTTCTCCAAGGAACAGTTTCTCTTGGCCACATGTCCAAAGTATGTGAGATGGAGCTTCAAAATCCAAGGAGAAACTTGGTTTCACTCTCTCCAAGTCAGACCTATTTGTCTTCTTGGTGGTCCATGGTATGGTCAAGACTCCTCCAGTGCCACAACTTGAAGGCATATACACACGAATATATAAATATAGCCACATAAACATGTAAACCCATATACTTAGAGATACACTTATACATTCACATCCATAGAGCTCTGATGGTCTAGTGGGTGAAGAATTTTACTGCCAATCCAGACACAAGTGGTAGACTTCTCAAATCCATCAACTGCTGTGGAGAAAGACAGGCAATGTCTTCCAGTATAACATACACCCTCTGAAAAGTAGCAAGAGGGTCTGATCCCACTTGATAACAATGCATTGAGTTTGAGTTGCTTACCCAAATACTCTAATGTACTTTATGCACATATGCACACATCTACCTACATACCACTCATATATTTTTGTTTTATAGACAACTGGTTAGTTATAGTAAAAAAAATAAATAAATAAAAAGAAATGTTCTTTATCTGAAGAGAATCCTAATGGTGAAACACTTGACTTCTACCCCAAGGCCAGAAGTCGGAGTCCACTAACTAGTTCTGCAGGTGAAAGATGAAGCCCTGTGTCCCTGTGTCTTCGTAAAGCTTCACAGCCTGGGAAACCTTGTAGGGCAGTTCTATTCTGTCCCACAGGGCCGCTGGGAGTCAGAATTGACCGCACAGCAATCAGATATTTTTTTAACATCTGAAATTAAAATTGAACAGGGCCTTCTGTTTATATCTGGCACTTTACTAACATAGAATGAAAGGTTGGGTTAAGTTGGTCTGGAATAGATGTGTTTGGATAAAAAGTCTCCAAGGCAAAGCAGTAGTTTTGCCTGCTGTCAGGAAAACGGCATTTTGTAGCTCTTTCGGCTAGAAATGTGCTTCAGAAGAGGAACCAGATCTGCTGTGCGAAGGATTTTTCCTCATGAGTTCTAGCTGAGGCTACGATCCAGTGAACAATAATAAGCCTCTGCCAGAGGCGGGCTGCCTGATTCACAGCGCTCACCGGTGAGCAGAGAGCCATGGGGGCATCTAAGCAGCCCACCTCCCAAGACCGGGCCTCCCCCCGGACCTCCGACGCCCTTCCCGGGAACAAGCCACCCCCTCGGCCCAGCGTGGGGTTTGCGTGGAGGACTGAGTTCAATGTGTCCCCATGTTAGGAGCGACTTGTGAAATCGCAAACCTCGCCTACTTTTGTTCCTTCATCTTTAAAGCGGCTCCAGAGAAAAGCGCCAGGCTGCCGCTCCAAACATAAGACAGACTGGATTTTGACCTTTCTGGCGGGCATCTTGCTCTTTTTCCCCCTTTTTTGTCGGAGGAGAGAAAACAGCGTTCCGCCCGCGAGTGTACGAGCGAAGTGCAGACAGCGACACACCCTCGGCTCCGCCCGCCCCCGGCCCGCGCGGCCCGGACGGCGGGAGGCGGGCGTTTCCGCGCACCGCGAACGCCGGGCTGTGCGTCGCTTGCCGCCGCCGAGGCTCCGGGCGTGTGGAGAGGATGTCCCGGTAACTCCTGCGGGAGCCCGGCGCCCCGGGGAGGATGATGCTCCTGAGGGGAGGTCCCAGGCCGTGGCGCCTGCCGCTGCTGCCAACTCCCGGGACCAGGGGCCGCGCGAACCCGCCGAGGCGCAACCCCCAGGTAGGAAAAAAGGTCGATTTAGGGCTCGGGAGGGCCCCCCTCTCCGGACGGCCGGGACGAAAGTTTGCATCTGACAACTTTGGGGAGAGAGGAAGCCTGCGCCGAGTGCCGGGAGCGGCAGGGAAGTCCGTGCGTGTCTCTGCCCTTCGGGCTCCGCGCGGGAGAGGGAGGACCCGACAGGTGGTCGCCGGACCGCAGATGTGGGTCCAGGAGTCCAGGCCAGAGCTTCGCCCGGGACAGAGGGAAGGAAAGGCCGGGGCGCTCCCCGTCTGGGGCCGCGGGGATCGGGAAGGCTCGGGTATTACGAGTCGGCAGTTGGGGGCCGGGGTTCGGGGGCTTCGCCCAGGGGAAGCTGCAGAATCGCCCCAGAAGTCATTTTCTCGGCATCCAAACCGCTGTTGGAAGTTCTGCCCCAGAGCGGCACTGGTGTCGCCTCGTGCCCCCTGGCGTCGCCGGTACATTTTCTTAAGAAAATGTAGAAATCTAGCTGAGAGTGAGCGAGCCGGTGTGGACTGTTAAGAGAGGGAAAGGTGCATCCCGAAACCCGCCAGCACCGCCCTTCCAGAGAGGGAGGAAAAACTCGCGTTTGGTTCGGAGCCTCGCGAGCCAGTGAATCATGAGTGTGTGCTGGTGAGTAACAGTTGCCCTGACTCAGTTGTATTGTGTGGTCTGTGTGGAACCGTTGCTTGGAGGAGGAGGGAGGAGAATTGATGTGGACTGGAAAAGACAGTCAGAGAAGGAGGCGGGGAAAGAGCTGAGTGTAACTAGGATTGTGATGGAGCCTGACAGGAGCCCAGGAGCCCTAACTCTGAGCTTGATGCAGACAGACAGCCTTTTTAAAAAGAGCCTTCAGGGTGTGTGTGTGTGTGTGTGTGTGTGTGTGTGTGCGCGCGCGCGCGCCGCGGGGGGGGGGGCTGGGAAGAACTTGTTTCTGCGTTTTTATTTGTTTGCTTTTGTTACTCCTTCACTCTTATCCAGTACATTACTTCTAGACCGTTGGAGAGAACCGATTTCTCTCGTTTTGACTATACAGTAGGGGAAAAAAAAAAAATCACATTGCAGAATAAGCAGTGTGGCTTTCGGGGCACTTTCACTTCCTGTTTCTTCCCCCGCCGCCCCCCTTCCCTTTCTCTCCCTTACAGCTATCTCTCAGGGCTTCCAAGTTTGGACTGATGCAGGAAATATTTAATTGCATCTGTCTATGCTCGAAAGAGCGAAGAAGATCAATTTACTTAGTATCTAAGCTGAAAAAAAAAAGAGTAAAATGGTAGACTTGCTAAAATAATTGGGAGTAGCTTTTTCTCATTTTTTTTTTTACTGAAGCACAAAATACTTGAACACTATAGATGAATGCCCCCTTAACATAGCATTTAAACACAGATTGCATCTGTGTTCTTTTAAATCCAGTTAACATTTTGAGTAGAATTTTTATGGATCCCAGGGCTGACTGCCCTTTCTCAAAGTATCAGCTCCAAGCCTTTTTCTCTTTCCCATCTGGTGCTTTATAGGGTGGTGTCATTGCCTGTCCCAGCAGGAATCTGGATGCCCTTTAGAAAGAAATAAGAAATTGTACAGTGGGGGCTATTAAGTCTAATTACAGAGAAACAGTGGTGAGTCCTTTGGCTCCTGAAGAAGCCTGGGGCGGGGAGGAGGGGGGAGGGGGAGCCTGAAGAAGCTCTGCTTTTGACTTTTTCATTTGCAAGTCTTTGTCTTAGATCTTGACTCCTCTTCCTATAGTTGGGTTTGTTAAACTTAGAAATGAAAATGTCTTTACCATTGCCTTACTTGTTTAGAGTTTTTGGGAGAGCATTGACAGTCTGTTAAAAGACACCTGTACCCAGTAGAAGAATGAAGGCAAGTTTATGAGTTTACTTCTTTGAACCTCTGACATTTTATCTTAAAGAAATTGATAGACATGTTTAGCTCCTTAGTAGTTTTGGTTAGAGCTAGCCTCTAATTGCTCGGATCCACCATCGGCACTCTTAGCACCAGCAGTCAGGAAATCAAAATTGCATTGGAAAAATCTGCTATCAGGGACCTCTCCAGAATACTGAAAAGCAACGGTGTCAGTCTAGAGACTATGGTGCAACTAATCCAGGCCATGAGCTTTTCAATTACTTGCTATGCATCAGAGAGCTGGTCAATGACTAAGAATGACAAGAATCAGTGACTTCGAATTGTGGTGCTGGAGAAGAGTCTTGAACATGCTATGGACTGCCAAGAAAAATAGATCTGTCTTGGCAAGGATGAAACCAAGTTTCTCCTTGGAGACTAGGATTTTGAAGCTCTGTCTGTCTCACATACTTACGCTGGGCATGTGGCCACGAGAGAATGGTCTTTGGAGACATCATGCTCAGAAGCATTGAGGGACAGTGCAGGAGGTGAAGACCCTGGAGGAGATGGATTGCTGCAGTAGCAATGGGTTAATGGGGTAATGGGGGTTGGTGTGTCAGAATTAGTGAGACTGGCTCAAGATAGGGCAGAGTCTCAGAGCTGCTGAATGTAGGGTGACTCAATGGCATATAACAGCAACAATAAGCCATTTTCTGCAAACCAAACTACATAGCTATAGAAACATTTTATATTCTAAATTCTCATGATTTGGTGATTGCCCCACTTGATATGAAAAATCCTGTAAGTAAAGACAAGTGTTATTTCTATATATTTTTACCACTTTTAAGCCCTCTTAAAGCTAGGCAGGGTGGAACAAAAAAAATCAGTGAAATTTTTATCTCATAAAAATTGGCTTGCAAGGACTTGTCATAAGAATTATCTCAAGTTAAGTTGTTGTTAGGTGTCATCAGATAGATTACAACCCAGTGATCCTGTGAACAACAGATGGAAAATTTGTCCTATCTTACACCCTCTTCACCATCTCTAATAGCCTTTCTTGAGCCTATTGTTACAGTCACTGTGTCAGGGCATCTTGTTGAGTGTTGTCTTCTTTTTCTCTGAACCTCCACCTTTTTAGCACAGTGTTTTTTTCCAAGGACTGGACCATCATCTACCCAAAGTATGTGAAATAGAGTCTCTCCATCATCGTTGCTCCTAAGAGTACTCTGGTTACTCCAAGACAGCCTTCCTCCAAGACCCATTTGTTTATATTTTTGGTAGTCCATGGGATGTTGTTGTTGTTATGTGCCGTCAAGTCGCTTGCAACTCATCGCGACCCTATGTACAACAGCCCAAAACTCTGCTCTGTCCTGTGCCAGTCGCACTGTCTCCGATACACCCATCCTGATTACCCCAGTCACTGAATCAATCCACCATAGAAGGCTTTCCCCTCCTGCGCTGTCCCTCCACCCTCCTAAGCATGATGTCCCTCTCCAAGGACCGGTCCCTCCTTACAACATGTCCAAAGTATGTTAGATGGAGCCTCAGAATCATTGCCTCCAAGGAGCTGCCTGGTTTAACCCTCTCTAGGATGAATCTGTTTGTTTTCCTAGCAGTCCATGGTACTCTCAATACTCTTCTCCAGCACCACAGCTCAAAGGCATCAATTCTCCTTCTATCCTCCT